TATACACATTACCTTATATTCAACAGCTTAAAGTCAATATTAACGATTGATCAAAGATTATTTATCATGAATATTTTAAATTCACATATACAAGCAAATTCAAAAATGATGTTTACGTTATTAAAATATAAAAAAAACAACAGTCTACAGAATTAATCCAATTCAATATACAAAATACAATACATAACTCTGTAAGTTTATATTTAAAAACATATAATAAAACACGAAAACTTAATGTCAAGACTATGTAACTAACGTAACTATTTAAAACTTTTAAGCCAACTGTCCAAATCAGTAAATGATTGCACACCAATGCATACAACTTTTCCTTAATTAAAGGATATATAGTTTTTCAAACAAAATTTAAAAATAGTAACAATCTTAACAAAATTGCAAAGAACATAACGAAACATTAATATTCTATGGTAAAACCAAAAATGTTTTTTCACATTTTATGCCGAAAAGACGCATGGTGTCGTTTTCAAAAAAAAAAAAAAAATATCAATACATTTTTGATCACACATGCAAAAAGAACAATATTAGCAAGAAACTGAATGCCTTTGCTGTTATTAACTCTATGTTAAAAAAGTAGTTTAAGAAATAATTATTATACATATAGGCATGTATGAAGCCAGGAATAAAGAAACTGCAAAAAATATTGTTTAATTTTGCCGAATAAATTTTACACATTATGATATTGAGAATTGTACTAACTAAAACTTGGTTGAATACAATTTATACTCATAACTTTACCCATAGTACACATTGAAATAAAAATGGTGAACAAAAGTTTATCATGCATATATTAACTATATGGTTTTATTGAAAAATATTAGACAAAATTATAATGTTATAAAAGGCTTGATTTTTATATAGATATTAAGTACACAATGTTTTAGCAAAAAATCAGTCCAAAACAAATACACATTATATACATGTAAACTTTTCAAAAGACACAAGTAACAAGAGAGTCCTTTATATATAACAGTTTGAATTAACAAAGATTAAAACACATCGAATTTGATTTATAAATTAAAAAATATTCCAGATTAAAAATGTACATAATGACAACCCGTCGAATAATTTGGATGTCTGATAAACATTTGTGTTGATTACCACAACCAATGTCTCCGTTACGCATCATATATTAATATGCATTTTACTGTTTCTGTGGATGACTTATTGATGATCTTATTTACTCTTATTTACTGCTGAAGCTAAAACTTTTTATCTTTATAATTATTAAACATTCCTTTGAAATAAAGCAATTTAACTGCAAGTGCATGTGATATGATGGCGATATAGACTAAAAAATGGTGTTGCATCATTAACTTGGAAAAGATACACTTCAGAAATATCTAGTTGTATCGGATGAATCTGATGGAATAACAAGTTACATATTCTTGTGTAAATAAAATAAATTCAAAATAAATAAATAGTTATAAATAAAGAACATCACAAATGAACAGCAATTCCAAAATGATATATGAGATAAAAGATATAGATAATACACGATTAAATATAAACAACAATAGTTAATGAAATTAATCCGGTTATATACACAAAAATACAATACATAAACTCTAAGATTATATCTTAAATCAATTAATATCAATCATGAGTCTAAATGTCAAAACTTCTTAAATATTTATGCAGCATTTAAATCAGATAATGACTGCACACAATGCACGAAACTTTCCCAAAACATATAAATTACATTATAAAGATACAGGCAACAAAAATATCAATAAGAACTGACATTACCTATATGTTTTACAAACTAATTAGACCAGTTGTAATACAAAATTGATAGGCCGACTGAAAAGATAAATTTCCCTACAAATTGATATTGAGATTTAGAATATACGCTACCGAAAAGTGCATGTAGCGGATGCGCAGGCTGGTCTGGATCCATGCTGGTCGCAAACCCATTATGTTGGTTTTGTCATGACACGGCTCATTTCTATTTGTTTTGATGCATGACCAACGTTTGTTTTCGAGTTTGATTTCCACGACCAATTTCGTCAGTACCACACCGCATTTGACTATTTCTGTGAATGGCTTATTGATGATCGTGTTTACTGTTTAAAAGAAAACATTCATTATCATTTTCTTTTGTAATCAAGTCATTCGTCTATGAATTCCTATCATATGATGGCGATAAATCCTATAAAGAGGACTAGAAACCATTAACTAAGATCTTTTAATTCTTTAAGAAAGGATATATCTCAGGTATTTACTATTCATAACAAATATCTAGTTGTATCTGATTATTGTTTATTTGGTTTTATGTCTGACCGGCACAGTATAGGTCATATGGGGCGACGTTCTAGCTTTACTGGTGGAAGAAGACCTCAGGTGCCCTTCCGTGCATTATTTCAGGCACAAACGGGTACCGAGTAGAACCACTGACGTTCCGTAAGCTAGCTGGATAGATTCCTCACATAAAAGAAATCAAAGTCCCTGTCGGGACCCGAACCCACAGCGGTGAGGGACAAGTGGTTTGAAGACAACGACCTTAACCACTCAGCCACGGACGCCGAAACTAGTTGTATCTAATGGAATAAAAAATGTCATTGTATAAATAAAATTAATAACAATCTACATTAAATAAATGTATATAGAAACTATATTTACTGTACTAATATATTGTGAAATACGAACAAATGCATACTCTACTATTTTCAAGAGCAGTATATGTATATAATTCACATACATTGAACTGTACGAGTATTTCCTCAGAAAAACTCAGTTAATTACAATGTTAAAGAATTGATACTATAGGACTATTATAAAAGTGTCTTGACCTGAACCTTGTATTTGACTAGAGTGTTGGTCAAACTTGGTAGCTGCCCACTAGACACTGTTTCAAAAGTCATATCTAAGCTATTCAGAAGTTATTTAACGTTTTTACTATATACATATGAGGAAACCAATAACCCCGGGCTCGGCAAGTTTGACCCGAGGGCCATTATTTAAACAACCTTGACAACAGTGCAATTTACAATAATTTATGTCCAATATGTAAGCTCTGGTCTTTGTGTGATCAGAGGGGAATTTTTCTTTATACTTGTGTCTTCTCGGACAGTTTAAAGTTTAACATGTGGCTTAATGTTTCATTATGAGGATAAAATGATTGACTTCCCGAACGCCTTCATTACGTCTTGCTTATTTTAGAAACTTTTATTTATATATTTACAAATTTTACAATTAGAAAACGTTTTATGTCCTAACTGGGGAAAAATTGTATGGCAGGGAGGAGGACTTACTTTCAAGTGAAAAGTGTAAATACGCAAAGTGAATCTCAAGGTTTACTATTATAGAAAATATAGTAGATGCTATTGAACAATCTTATTTATAAATATTACATCAACGACATTCATTTACAAACTGAGAATAACAAGTACGCTTTGCTCTACAAAATATGTAATTTATCTATTTAGTATTCGTGACTCTTATTATATTTCTTTAAAAACGATTCATAACTATTTTATTCCAAGGCTAAATATTGCAAATAGTTGGTAAACAATCTAAACTTACTTTTTCAAAAATGGGTTCAAACCTGAAACAAAACAATGGTAACAATAATAATAATGATAATATTAAATCGTCAGTATTATATAGACAACTCTTCATATCAATATTGTTAGGACATATGACAAAATTTCACCAAGTTTATAACCAGGCAGAGAATGAGTCGAGTCTTATATGCATTTTAATGATACGCATATTTTTACACTACGGTATGACACGATGTATTGTTAGGTTTAATTAAATACAAGTACATAAAACGTTAAAACACATAAGCTTAACATTGCAGGACCAATTTTAAGTTTTTAACTTTGTTGCAAAATATTTACAATTCTGTCAAATAGAGAAACAATTTCTTCTTATCTGTGTATAATAATAAATAAATGACTGTAAAACTGTCTGAATTCATGTTATTTCGGTTGTTAATCTAGACATATTATCGCAGAAGCAGGATAGAATTAGATCACGCGTAATACACAAATTGTTGTCTCCACCTACAGGGGCACTATTTTGCAATGTTAGAAACGCATGGGGGTAGGTTAGAGATTTTGCATGACATTGTAATAAAACATTTGATTTTGTTTTGTATTTATGTATCTATTTACCTAAGAAAATAAAAAAAAAACATTAGTTTTTTAAAATTGCAAAACTCTGTATCTTTCTCTTGAGATAATTGGACACACAGGACGTTGAGGGCATCAGACCAAAATCTAACCAAAATGTGAAAGCAAACTTGTATCTTTGCTGCTTTAGTTCACAAATAAAAATTGTGTATGTATTATTGAAAAAAAGGAGATTTTCAACATTGTTTTATTCAGATAGTATTAGTCGAACTACTTTGAAAGGTTTCTCTTTGCATACATTATTAAAAATGACTATTGTCCAGCACAACACTTCGATGCATCGTGAGAACATTGGGTACTATAATATATTCGCTTTAATATAAAATAAAAAATACAATTAACAAATAACTTGATCATCATGATTTTTAAAGACACCATTTATTTTTAAATAAAAACTGGCACCACTAAAAGTGCATTACTATGTATAAAATTTGGATCGCTAAATTCGTTAGGGATGTTGATATTTATAAAAATTTAATATATCATAAAACAAAGTAAGTTATTTTGTTTCGTTCATTGCGTTACACCGTAACTCCATTGTTTTGTTATTTGAGTAACCTAAACTATATTTGAGCATCATGTAAAATAAACTCGTGCTGAAGCAAGCCGCAAAGCCGAAAGCTTACGAGCAATTTAAATCTACTCGTCTTTTGCTTATATACGGCAAATAATAAGCATCCAGGAATGGGCCCAGCACACCGACACGATGGTGACCACGAAGAAGGGCGGGGGGGGAATTTACTTCTCTCCATTTGACAAAAGGAGATACATAATCAATGTTAATCGCATTATGATAACCAATTTGAACGTGTCAGTTATGTTTTTATAGAGACTCATGATGTCAGACGCCTGGCACAGTCATTTAATAGTTTTTCCTTTGGCGTTGACTTGAGCGTACCAGTCCTGTTAAAGTATAAATACGGACGTAATGGAGTTTCTGCCTCGTAATGCGTCTCCTTTCACACTTCATTTCACAACGGCGGGGATGATCTAAACAGACATAAATCAAGGTTGTATCTTATTTGGCGCTTCTCAAGGTTTGTAGTGTACAGCTGTGGTGTAACACTATTCCTTCACTTGCTAAGTTTTTGTTGTAATTAGTATACAAAGGACAAGTATTTTCTTTTAAACACACAAACATTATGATTCTGCAATATCTCTCATTCTTAACTACTTATTTAGTGTTCTTTAAGTTATGTTATAGCCTACTAACTTTTTATATCACTGAAATATTTCAATGTGCTTCACATATGGTAAAATGAATCTTTGTTACAGAGGAACATTATAAAATCTACTTTACTATATTTACCCCAGCTGTTGAGAGTAAGGAAGCTTATAGAGATCCAACTGAACAACAACTATCAAGTAACGACTTCTAATCCGATGATCAGTCGTATTAACTTAGATAATACTTATTTAATTTTAAGTACATAATGAAATTATTTTTGATCACAGACTTAAACGTTTTCATTTTTTGTGGGCTGGATATTTCTTTATAAAATGGTATTAATATGGCGCTATGGTTAAAGTCACTGAAAACGAACATATCAATAGATTTACTTGCGTTATAATTTAACATTGCAATATATCTCTTGTATAATTTGATATTAACTCGAACGATCCGAAAGTCCAAATTATCTGTTCCAAATATGCAAATCTTATTCTTCCAAGTTTAAGAGGTTCTTCTGCAGATTTAATATGGTGCTAAATTGTACAAGCCGGTTGAAACAATCTTGTTTAACATCATATCAATTGGTCTTTATACATAATGTGCAAAACAGTCCACGAGCTAAACACATTACGAGTATATTCTTAGCATGTTTGTCTATAAATTGATTGAAGAACTTAAAACCGATCTTTCGTTAAATCTACCTGTTTTGTAACAGGGAAAAACACAAAAAAGAAAAGAGAAGGAAAAAAAACAAAGAGAGCGACTTTCACAATTAAACAACAAATACAGTTCCAAACGTAAAATCAACCGTCACCGTCAAAGTAATATTACAGTTTGCCATTTAATAATTAAAGCAGATGATCACGTTGTCTCACATAATTTTCACAAGGACAACTGAGATTTATATCAATTCTGAATCATTTGACATGTGAAATATAATAATATTTATTTTTCAAAATGTCGACAGGACTATATACTGAATAAGAATGAGAGTGAAAAGTGCAAATAATTGTAGAAATACAGTAAATTATATTTATGTGCTACGAATACGCTAAATTATTAGTTAAAAATATTGCAAAGGACAATCTTGGCGTTCAATACTAATTGAACATTTATCTTTCAAATCATAAAACAAATAATATCCTATATATCATATTAAATTATATGAAGAACAAATGTTATCAATCAAAATATTTTTTATTTTGTGCATGACAATTGCAGACTCAATGAATGAAACTCTTTGTTAGGAATAGTACTACCTAAAACACTCATGACTAATAGCAAAACATATTAGAAAACATATATTTAAAAGTTGAAAGAAAAGCACCACAAAATAGAGAAAATAAGAATCCAAAAAGAAAGCCCAACACGGCATAATTGAAAATGTTACAGGCTCGGTTTGATTGAGCCTGTTTAAGGTGGGGAAATATACGCCAGAATATGAATGTTAATATAAAATAAGAAATAGTTTTTTCAAAAAAAGGGGGAAGAAAATTTCTCGTCAAAAAACCTTTTTCCCTTTTGATATTTTTACGTCCACGATAGGGGGCAAAAACTTACCAAAAATTAAAATAAACCGGTATCAAATATCTGATTTTCTTTTTCATAAAGTCCCCAATGTTTTTTAAAAATTATATTTTTAAATACTTTTTTGGGGAAATAAAAAAAAGTAGGAATTGGGTTATTTTAAAGTTTTAAAAAAAAAAAAACATGATGTTTTAAATTGCATTTAGAGCAGATATATACATGTATGACTTTGGGGAAATCATTTTAAAAAATGAAGAAAAAAAAGAATAAGAAGTATTTTATTGTTGTAACAATTCATAAAGATGGCACAAATGGACAAAGCATCCGATCGATTTTATAAAACATTTAAAGCAATTTTAAGATTATAAAGATTGACACAATTTCTAACCATAACAAACATCTTAATACCGTTTACGAAAATATTTCTTTCAAGCTAAATTTCACACTGACGTTTAAGGCTACAAATCTAAAGCTTCAATGTGGAATAGTGCGACACACTTTCATGAGTATTTAAATACCGTTCTTGAATATTAATGTTAAGCGCAAAACACGACACCATTTTATCTATTCACAATCATATCATGACGTAAATGTGTGACCTTGCCGTTTGAAATGGAAATCTTATTTTTACCGCACTAAAATTAAGTTGATCAGGTATGTCACAGGGTGAGAAAAATATGAAGCCTGAGCAGGACCCTCGGAATACCGTACCGCGACTCTACCGACTGACTATTCGGCCGCTTACACATCTTTTCCTCGAGAGAGTAAATAGTTCTGAACCGTGACAAGTAAGTTTGAAAATAAAGCAGTCATTGCTTAAAACATGCAGTCAGGTATCATCGGCAAGCTTCAGTATCGATGTTGATTAAAATCGATGCTTATCTAGTAAAAAAAACATGTGATAATTTCTATATCGGTAGCAACAAATACTCTTTATTTAAATTTTTGGGGGAAAATGTTAACGCAGTTGGGTAATATCATTTTAATGCATACATATATATGAATAAAATATATGTAATAAGTAATAGAAGTTATGCATTAAGATATAGTTTTGTTGTACCAGCGCTCACTACTTTACTCACTACTATACTATAAGTTGGTACAATACGTCATGATATCGGTTTCGTCCTTCTCATGAGAGTAAAATATTAATAATTGATATCAGACAGACATCAGTATATCCGTTCCTATACCACTGAGATTCTACGTAAAACATTATAATAAATAAAAAGACAATATCATAGCAAGTTATAGTACGATTGTTTCACAAATTAGTAAAATAAGAAATCTTTAAAAAGGTTTATACCTTACGTAATAAGAAGAAATATACTTTCACTTACCTCGCGAACGTTCTGAAAAATATAAATGATGTATAAACAAAACGAATCGATTCTAATATGATTGAATACTGGTGGTATTTTCTGATAAAATATTAATATAATTCATGACGAAAAGTACATCTGGAATTCAATCTGTCAATTACATCTTACAAATCGTAAAACAAACAACATGATATACATGTATATCATATAAATTTATATAAAGATAATGATATCGATTAATATACTTTTATTTTGTACTTGACAACTTCTCACTCGAATTGACCGAAACTCTTTATTAGAAATAGTACTTGTTGTATGTTTTGTTTTGGTGACAAGTATATTATCAAGAATATTATATCTCAAATGAGATGTCCAGTAAAATATACTATTGTATAATTTGAACTAGAAGAGACAACAAGAGTACGTCTTAATATTCCAAGATTTAATACACAAGTGATGTTACATGTAGCATGCTATGGAGGCGGAGCTTATCAGTAACTAAAGTCTGTTTCAATATATATCAATATAGAACATCTCCCTTCTTTTATTTTAAATCATTTATGTTACTAAATAATAATGCATGCTTAAAAATAATATTCATAGCTAATTTCAATAATACTGATTGAACTGTTTATTAATTTTCTCTACGTGACATAGTTTAGTTCTTTTTTTGATAGTCACGGTATATTACTGTGATAACAAAATACTTTAAACTCATTATTTTCAATAACTGTTATTATCTAACCCATTCATTATTATCATACTTCGGATTGCCACGCAACAATCGTCCAGCCCTTGTTCTAGCACGCGAGTTCATCGGCGGGTCACTTTGTTCCTGAGATGAGTTATTTTCCTCGAGAGGTAATTGAGGGGTACTTGAATTTTTATCATGATATAAGACTTGCGCATGAAATGATTCAATATCGGTTGTGTCTTCCGGACTTTTGCGTAATACTGACCGATTTCTCCGATATATGCTGCCGTCAGCAAGTTGTATATGATAGGAGCGGTCACTATGTACTTTTACTATTTTCCCGCGTTTCCAAGTTTTTCCTATTTTAATGCGTACTGATTGATTCAAGGACAAAGGTGGCAAATATTTAGCATTTTTGTCGTAATTGACCTTTTGTTTGTCTTTCGATTTTTTCATTAGACTGCGCACTTTTGAGTTATTTACTAAAATCGGTACCAGTGCTTTATTTGTAACTGGCACAACGGATTTAGTTCTCCGGCCGATTAACAGTTGACTCGGAGAATATCCGCATTCAAGAGGTGTATTACGATACTCTAATAATGCAATGTAAATGTTTGTGTTTGTATCTTTAGCCTTTTGCATTTTTTTTTTTTGCAATACCTACGCCTTTTTCCGCAAGACCGTTCGACTGGGGGTATCCGGGGGATGAAGTTCTGTGCTCGAAACCCCACTCTTTAGCGAATTCTTTGAATTCGGAGCTTGAAAATTGAGTACCATTGTCTGAGACAAAGACTTCAGGTATTGACAGTCTCGACATGTGTTTCTGAAGTTTCAGAATGACTGTTTTTGATGTTGTATTTTGTAAATGGTCTATTTCAAAAAATCTTGAATAATAATCTATCGTCAATAGATACTCTTTACCTTGAAAATGGAACAGGTCTGCTGCTATTTTTTGGTAAGGTCTGTCGGGGAATTCTGTAGTCATAAGCGGTTCTTTTGTGTTTGCGTCGCGGTATGTTAGACATATGCTACATTTGCTTACATATTCTTTAATTTGCTTGGACATGCCTGGCCAGAATATTGAATCTTTAGCACGTTCAAGTGTTTTCGTAATTCCCATGTGACCTGTATGAACTTTCTGTACAAGTTCATTTCTCAAGATTTTCGGTATTACAATCGTATGACCTCGAAATATCAGGTCATTTTCTATGCTTATCTCATCGCGGTGGTTCCAGAAATCAAGGATTGATTGCTCGCACATTGATCTAGATTCTGGCCAACCGTTTAATATAGTCTTTTTCAGAATTTTCATTTGTGCGTCTTTGCACGTTTCGGCGCGAATATTTTCTATTCGTTGGTCGGTAATGTGCAATTGTTTTTGAACGGTATGCACGTAATTATCAAGCTCATCTGACATATTTAAGTATGTATTAGGGAGACTTTGGCGTGATAGGCAGTCACTTACTGGTATTTCTTTACCAGGAATGTGCTTTACGATTAACTGATACTTAGACAGAGCTAGTAGCATTCTAGATAATCTAGGCGGTGCTGCGGACATTGGTTTTTTCATAATGGCAGATATTGGTTTGTGATCGCAATGTACGATAACTTCTCTACCATAAGTAAATTGATGAAACCGTTTTCATCCGAACAAAATTCCAAGCATTTCTTTTTCAATGACGGCATAACCGATTTCAGTTTGCGTCAGGCTTTTGCTTGCAAATGCGATAGGTCTATTGTCTTGAAATAAACAACAAGCGACTCCGAATTTTGAAGCATCCGTTTCAAGTAGAAGCAGCTTTGTCGGGTCATAAAAACCTAATACTGGTGCCTGTGTTATAATATCTTTGACTTGAGAAAATGCTCGGTCATGAACATGATCCCATATAAACTCTGTATCTTTTTTCAAGAGGCTCCGTAAGGGGGCTGTAACTTCTGCTAGATTTGGCGCGAATCTAGAGAGATAATTGACCATTCCAAAAAGCCTTTCGACCATTTCGCGGTTATTTGGGATTGGCAATTTTATAATTGCCTCAATCTTAGACGGGTCAGCCTTTAACCCACTTTCCGTAATGATATGACCAAAGATTGGTACTGATTTGGCGCCAAATGTGCATTTTTGCTCATTAAACCTGATACCTTGTTCGCGCGCACGTAATAAAACTTGTGTTAGACGTTTGTCATGTTCACCTTGCGTGTTTCCCCATATTAAAATATCATCAACAAGAGGGTGTATTCCATTTATTCCTTCGAATATCTGATTGACCTTTTGACAAAATATATCACTTGATGATGATATACCGTATGGTAACCTCAAGTATCTATATCTACCGAAAGGAGTAGCGAAGGTTGTGACGTAAGACGATTGATCGTCTAGTTGTACAGACCAGTATGCATGAGTAAGATCTAACATGCTAAAGTATTTAGCTCCAGCGAGCCTTGCTGTTACGTCATCAAGTGTTGATATGACATAATTAGGTCTACGTATTGCGTTTTTGGTCTAGGCAAATACGTAATTTTCCATTTGTTTTTTCTACCACTACAATCGAGTGTACCAAGTCCATATGTTCCGTCACTGCCGTTATAATTTCGTCTTTGACAATTTGCTCAAGCTCTAGCTTAAGTCGCGATTTGAGCGCTTCCGGTACACGTCTCTGACGTGTTATTACAGGAATAGCGTCATCACGCAGGTGTAATTTGCTTTTACCAGGGAGTATGCCTACGCCCCTGAACAAATCACCGTACTCGGACATTACTGACTCTTTAGTCATGTACTGAGTATTTTGGCAGTTTATGTCATATGTGAGTTTAATTAACCCAAGGTCAATGGATGTCTGTAATCCTATAAGCGGCGGTGCGTCACTGTTAACGACATAGAAGTCTACAGTAACTTGCGCGGAACGATAGCTACAGGTTAAACTGATTTTTCCTATAACTTTAATTGTATCACCTGAGTAAGAGATAAGTTGAGAATCGGGGGCCTGCAAAGGGATTCTCATGTTGAACGATTCAAATTTGCGCTTAGAGAGTATGTTAACGCTGCTACCTGTATCAAGTTTGAAATTAATGTTTTGGCATTTCGGGCCAATCTTAATGTCAACAAACGCGCGATCTGGGGCTGGCGATGTTTTGTGACTTACCGTATCAATGAAATAGTTATACATACAAGAATCATCACTATTTTCACTTAAATTGTTCGACAATTCATGAACATGTTTCTGTTTGTTTGAACGGCATACTTTTGCCCAATGATTGTACTTTGTACATGATTTGCACTGCTGTCCATATGCCGGACATTTCCTTCTTTGAGTGATGTCATGGTATGTTCCACAATTTCTACAGGTAGTTGAGAGACTTCTGTTTCGTGTCGATCCCGGCAGCGCTGTGTTCCGGTTTGGCACGACCTTGCCTTCGTCCATGTTTGACGTAATTTATGTCTTGCTTGGGGTTAAGAATGTCCATTTGTTTTTTTATAGTATTCGAAATTTTGTGAGATTTGCATTGCTTTGTCTAATGTTAGGGATTCTCCTTCGTTAATTAATTTTTCTCTCAGTCTTTGGTTATTTACCCCGAAAACAATTCGATCTCTGATCATTTCGTCCTTTGTTCCTTCTTGGTATCTGCATTCATTGGCTTTCAATTTTAGTTTTGTGATGAATTGGTCTATGTTTTCATCACCCTGCCTTTCGTTGTTGAATTGGTACCTAGCAAAAATTGGGTTTAATTTAGGTTGAACGTGGTTTTGAAATTTTGTGAAGTACGTATCGATCTTTTTTCTATCATCTGCGGTTAAATTCCAGGATTGCATAATGTCTTGCCCCTTTTCTCCTACCCATATAAGTAGATATGAAATCCTCTCTTCTTCTGTTTTTTCTTTGAGGGGTCCACTGAATATTAGTTTAACATTTCGTTTAAATTTTTCCCAAGTTGTTGGTAAATTGACACTGTCCCAGTTCATGTTTGGTGGGTTTATTCCAGAGAGTGCCATTTTGTTCACTTTCTTTTAAAGTTTCTGTTAATATGAATTTGATGTAAATGTCAGGTGAAGTTAAATTTAATTTCCATTTTTTCTGACACCATGTTGTATGTTTTGTTTTAGTGACAAGTATATTATCAAGAATATTATATCTCAAATGAGATGTCCAGTAAAATATACTATTGTATAATTTGAACTAGAAGAGACAACAAGAGTACGTCTTAATATTCCAAGATTTAATACACAAGTGATGTTACATGTAGCATGCTATGGAGGCGGAGCTTATCAGTAACTAGTGTCTGTTTCAATATATATCAATATAGAACAGTACTTACTAATAAAAACAGTATGTTAGAACATAT